CCATTGTCTCACTCAATTTGACTTTCATTTACAATTTTCATCATTGTATCCCCTGTAGTAACTAAACAGTGCCTCATATCACAAAAGCTTATTTACGTATTGTTGGATGGGTGGGTGCATGGATGGATGGATGAATGGATAGATGGCAGGATCGATGGACAGATAACGGGGCAGAACTGACTCACTAGTCAACACATATCTAAAATAATATATTGCTTCTGCCATGCTTCTGTGCCTGTAATCCCAGCTATTTGGAAGGTTAAGGTGAGAGGTTCGCTTGAGGACAGAAGTTTGAGACCAGCCTGGGTAACATAGTGAGACCTGGTCTCAACAAAAATAAAAATAAAATAAAATATTGTGTTGAATTTTCAATGCCATGTTTAAGGATGAACATGAATAAAGTGGAATTTATCAAGAGAAGAATGCCAGAGAGTGAAGGACTGGGGAATCATGCCATAGGCAAATGAGTTGAAGAAATTGGTACATTTAATCCAAAATAGGAAAATGGTGAAGGAGTCTTTGGGGTAGGGGCACTGGGGAAAAGGAAAGAAATGTCATCTATGGCCCGGCACGGTGGCTCATGCCTGCAATCCCAGCACTTTGGGAGGCCGAGGCAGGCAGATCACTTGAGGTCAGAAGTTCGAGACTAGCCTGGCCAACATGGTGAAACCCCATCTCTACTAAAAATACAAACAATTAGCTGGGTGTGGTGGCGGGTGCCTGTAATCGTAGCTACTCAGGAGGCTGAGGCAGGAACATTGTTGGAACTGGGGAGGCAGAGGTTGTAGTGAGCCAAGATCACACCACTGTTCTCCAGAGTGAGACCCTGTCTCAAAAAAAAAAAAAAAAAAGTTATCTACATTTAGAATTTTGAAGGATGGTGTGTGGGAAAGGGATTAAACTAGTTTACATTGCTTCAGAGGACAAAGCTAGAAGCACACGGTGGAAGCTACAGATAGGTAGATTTCAGCTCTGAATAAGGAAGCTAGAAGGACTCCCTGATGCCTGCAGAGAGGTAGCCTGCCCCGACTGATGGTCTGTTTCTCACGTGCGGCTGACTGTTATAGCGGCCCCTGTTCGCGGCAGCTCTTTCCCTACCGTGCCTCTGCAACTAATTGCCAGTGTCCCTTGCTCAATGCTTTATTTAACAGTGCTTTGCATTAAAGTGAGCTCGTATGTCTGTCTCCTCCACTAAGCTATAAATTCCTTGAGAACAAGGCCTATGCCTTTCCTACTCTTTATATGTAGCAGAAACACAATCAACATTTACTTCATTTGTTCAGTTAAATAGGAATTGGCTGCCTTTTCTCTTCAAGTCCACTACCCAAAAAAATGCATTTGGTCTAGTCTGAGATCTGCAGAAACACAGCAACTCCTGAATGGTAATATAACCATACTGGCTGTATGCCAGTGTTCTGTGTATTTTGGGAAAGGTCACATCTGTGAATCCATTCTTCCCATCTTTAAAGCAGGGATACCTACATTCTTGAGGCTCACAATGCCGTGCACATAATGTTTCATATGCTTTCAAAGAAAAGTAATCTCTAAATGTAAGGTGCCATTAGGATGATATATGTCACATTAAAGAAACATTTTCTCCTTCCCCTTTAACATTAGCATTCTCTTTTGTTTCCCAAGTTTTCACCATAAGATTCTAGAAAGTTCATTTCAAAAAAACCCCATTTATCTGCTACCCATTCAAACATCTACAAACCACTGGAACTTCTTTGGCATAGAATGGAAGATATGTTTATTTTCCCTCCAACCATTATCTCACTTAATTTGAATTTGACTTGGGTATTTGGTTGGTTGGTTGGTTCGTTGGTTGGTTGGTTGGTTGGTTGGTTGGTTGGTTGGTTGGTTTGTTTTGAGATGGAGTCTTGCTCTGTCACCCAGGCTGGAGTGCAGATATTAATTTTAGGAATTCATCGTTATTTGGGCTGTTTCTAATAACTCACGTCATTGAGTATTTTGGTCTGAGGGATATACAAATGTCACCTTCAAGTCACATTAATTGGACGGAGTGCCTCCAACGTGCTGATGAAATCAACTTGCCTCCATGACTTAGTCATGCTGATGCTGCAAATCTAGGTGGGGCCAAAGATGAAATGATGAAGGCACTTTTCTTTATGCTTATTCTGTGGATGAAAAAAAATTGCTCTGATGCAAGCCTTGTGCTTGTTCTCATTATTACGTCACTGCATTCCCAGCATATTAGATGGCAGGGTCTTTTCTCTACTCTTAGCTCTTGTCTAGCCTACATTTTATCACACTGCCACATTCCTTCCCAAAGGTGGCAGCATTCTGGAGAATGGTAAAGTGAAATGATTTCCAGAGAAGTAATTAGCAAAATGCATAGAGGCTTAAAGAAAAAAAAAAAAAAAAAAAGGAGAAGAAGAAGAAGGCTATCAATCAATAAATAATAAAAAATTCAGCCAAGAGCATTTTCCATCTTGGTGTTCTTGGCTATGAGAGCGAGAAAGAGAGATTCATGAGGACAGGTCAGGTTACCCCTCCTTAGCTCACATTACACAGCTTCAATATAATGCAGTGTACTCGCATAAAGGGAGGTGATAAGGAACAAAAATGGGAACTATGCTTTCACCTGCACTTGACTTCCTACCATCACTTCAGACTTTCAGGTAGCACTGTAAGATACCTGATCTTAGATATTCATGGAGTAATTGCATCGACATTGATCTCTTAATGGTAGATGATGAGTTAATTCATCCCCAAACCCTTCTGACTTGGCAGATGAGGAGTCATTAGTCATTGAACTTATTCTGGGCATTACACATTCTATTATTTATCATTTACATATAAATGAAAGTGTGAGCCTCCTAGAGTGATGGGACGGTGCTAGATGGTTTAGAGATTTTTCCATTGCCAGGAGACCAGAGTCAATAATGCAACCCGATGAGAGAATAAGTAAATACAGGATTTGGAGAGAAGAGTTGGCATAGCTGACAAGGTGGGTTGGGGATGGCTCTGGTATTAGAAGAAGAAAGGTAAGGAGTTATATTCACTCATTTATGCATTCATTCCACAAATATTCCTTGTGCTAGATAAGATTATTAGACATAGCCCTGCCCCTCCAAGTAAACAAATCATATGTCATCCCAAGTTGGGAAAAGTGCTCTGAAGGAAACAGGGTGTTGTAGGAGAAAATAATGGGAATGGGGGTTCAAGGGTTGGGAGTGTATTTGAATAGACTGGTTAGAGAAGATCTCTAAAGAGTTAACATGTAAACTTGAACCCAAAGGATAATAAAGAGCCAGCCATATAAAGGGGAAATGATAAGTGACAGAGGCTTTATGAGGCCTTGAAGCGGGAAAAGTCCTTGGCAAATTCAAAGAAGTAAACTGTTAATGGCACTTCCCTTTATCGAGCACCTATCATGGCCAGACCCTGGTCTAGATGCTTTGTGTGTGTTAATGCATTTACTCCCCCAGCCCTCTGAGCAGGCGTTGTCACATCCCCACTCTACTGGTGATGAAAATGGAGCTAGTGTGGCTGGAACATAAAGGGTGAAGGGGAGATGGCTCAAGACCAAGTTGGAGAAGCAGGCAGTAGCCACCAGTGTTTTTTTGTTTGTTTGTTTGTTTTTGTTTTTGGAGACAGAGTCTCACTCTGTTGCCTAGGCTAGAGTGCAGTGGTGCAATCTCAGCTCACTGCAGCCTCTGCCTCCTGGGTTCGAGTGATTCTCCTGCCTCAGCCTCCCAAGTAGCTGGGATTACAGGCACAAGCCACCACGCCCAGCTAATTTTTGTATTTTTAGTAGAGATGGGGTTTCACCATGTTGGCCAGACTGGTCTCAAACTCCTGACCCCAAGTAATCTGCCCACCTCGGCCTTCCAAAGTGCTGGGATTACAGGTGTGAGCCACCGCGCCCGGCCAAGTGGGGTTTTCACCAGGGAAATGGGCTTAATCTGATTTTGGTGTTTGATTGGTTGGTTGGTTGGTTTTGAGAGGGAGTCTTGCTCTATCACCCAGGCTGGAGTGCAGTGGCGCTATCTTGGTTCACTGCAGCCTCCACCTCCCAGGTTCAAGCGATTCTCCTGCCTCCTGAGTAGCTGGAATTATAGGCATGTGTCACCGTGCCTGGCTAATTTTTTTTTGTATTTTTAGTAGAGACGGGGTTTTGCCATGTTGCCCAGGCTGGTCTTGAATTTCTGACCTCAAGTGATCCACCCGCCTCAGCCTCCCAAAATGCTGGGATTGTAGGCATGAGCCTCTGCACCCGGCCCTGATTTGGGTTTTTAAAGGATCCCTCTGGGCTGCTCATTGATGAGCGGACTGCAATGGGGCAGGAGAAGAAGTGCAGGGACCATTTAGAAGGCATTACGGGTTTCCAGCAAGAGGAGATGTGACTGGACCAGGAGGGTTACAGCAGAGGAGATGACAGGAAATGATGGGTTGGAGGCAGGTTTTGGCTGCGTGGAGAGTTGAGAGGCAGCCCAAGCAGTGAGGATGCAAAAAGAAAACACATGAACTCAAACCTAATACCAGCCTCCTTCTACCACTAAAGAGAGGGAAGAGAGAGAGTCGCAGAATAGATTCCTTGAAATTGGAAGAGTTTCAGGCATCTGACCAGGATCCTGCCTCGCTGTCAGTATAAAACTTAAATACCCATTGCCTGCATGTTGCGGTTTGGCAGTTCTTATTCCTCCTTTTTGTTGTTGTTGTGGTTGTTGTTGTTGTGTGAACACACACACCACCCACTCCTGATCCACTGGGGCCTTAGAAGGCATCAGAAAGCGAGGTTTCCTCCTGTGGCCAGGAAGGTCTCCATGCAGAGAAGAGAAGTCTGCTACCCAGAAACTGAAGTGAAGGAAAAAAAGGTGGCTCACCTGGAGGAAACAGGTCCAGCGAACTGCAAGCCAATCATTAACTCTGCCCAAAGCCTTGAGGACACTCACACACTTGGGAATTTTGGGAGCCCGGAAACTAACTGCAAAGTTTACTTTCAGAACAAGGCCCAGAGAAGGAAGCAAAAGATAAACAGGGACCGAATGTTTTAATTATTTTACATGGTTCCACCCCAACACCATTCCCTAAATCTTAAAGGATTGAAGGTCCAAAGGGGTTTATGGGAGAGCATTTTCTTCCTTCCCTTCTCTGCCATACAGGCTTGCAACTGCCCTGCGCCCCCACTTCTACAGCGTTCCCTTCATGGGAATGGCTGGGTATATCCGTGGCTATCTTGTGACTTTGACCAAACCTGGGTGTTGGAGCCTGGTGAGTTTCCTGGGCGGTTGTGGTCGGCTTCACAACAGTAGCCACACGGGATGCTCTCCAGGGACTGCCTCTGAGTTTCGTGGATACAGTTCTTCATCTGGGTTTTATAGAGAACAGGGGTCCTGACCTTGGAGTGCAAGAGAGCAGAGCTTTGTTAGTAAACTGTCCAGGGAAGACTTTAAGGAAAACGAATGAGGTGGGGAAAAGGGAAACTGGGAAGGGCCAAAGGAATCCAGACCCTTCAACACGTTCAGGCACAAGCAGACTCCCTGGGTGTGGCCGTCGGACTCACAAAATCAACTCCAGATATCTTGGGGAGAGCAAGAAGAGAGGACAAATATGCAGGGGCAGGAGGGTCAGGGGGAGGGTGGGGGGAATACCTGCTAATGCAATCAACTGCAAGTGGAAACAACGAGCCGTCGCCCACGGAAGATCTCAGAAAACACAGCTCGAAAAAGTACAAAAGTCCTTCAGTGTGAGGAAATGAGGCGCATCTAATTATATTTAAGAAAGAAACAGCAAGAACTGCTTTAAAAGCCTCCTCTTAGTCTTCCCCTCTCAAACCAGTAAGGATCCCAAAGCCAGAGACATCGTTGCTTCACAGAAAGTGAGGAATTGAAGAGCGCATCACAGGAAACAAGGTTATTTTCCCAGAACTGAGAAAAACTATCACCCAAGACCTTCCCTGCCTGTTCTCTTTTCCCCTCCCAAAAAAGAAAAAAAAAAAAAAAAAAAAAGTCCCATCAGGAAACAGCAGGGGGAGAAAGAAAGAAAAAAAAAACCACAGGCAACGCCACCATGAGAAATGAAGGCAGTCGAAATGACATTTGACACCGCCAGGCCACAGCTGAAGAACAAGGGAAAAGTTTTAGGGCGACTGTCAATGACCCATGCTCCTTCACTCCTAACCTTGCTCCTAGCATATGTTTCTCATTTCCTTGCTTATAGCTGGTCCAAGCTAATGATATGTGTTTTGGCCGGGATCCCGTGCTTGGCATACAGCCGGTCTTGTTCTCATTGTCCGGGCTACTTACAGAAACCTCTTTCTCTGTCTCTTTCTCTCTCTCAAAAAACCGGCTTTAAAGAACAGTAAATATGCAAAACAGCCCCCACGCTCTATAGAGCTACCATCTTGAACACGGCCTACGCCATCCTCACACACCCCATCAATAAAGGCCTGAAGAGACTGCCCACAGGAGAGGGGTAAGTTCAACACAAAAGCAGTGGAAATTCAAACAAATTGGCCCATTAGAGTCTCACACGGCTATAAATACAGCTCGGCTGGGGCTATTTTGAGGGACGGTGGCATGGGAAAGTTCGGCCTGGAATCTTGAGTCTGTCAAAGGAGACGGATCTCTCCCAAGACATGGGAAGAACGCGAAGCGCCTGGCGGGCAGGAGGAAGGAGGGCGCTGGAGCTGGTCAGTTTCAGGGCCAGGTTACACGTGGATGGCTGAGACAAGGCCGGGCCTCGCCCTTGCCCTCCGGGGCTGCCGGACTTGCTGTTGGAGGCTTGGGCTCCGGTGTCACTCAGAGTGTCCATAACCTCTAAAAAGGCCGAACATGCCCTTTTGCTCCTCGGGTCAATGGACCATTTCACTCTTCCTGAAGGACCCGGCAGGCGGGTGGAGGAGGGGTGGGAAACGGAGGGGCTGGGGAGTCTGGGCAGGACCCGGTCTGCAGTCAGCATCTCTGGCGGACCCGGAGGGGAATTTTTTTTTCCGTTTTTTTATTGATACATAATCATTGTGCCTATTGATGGGGTAGGTGTGATATTTTGATATAATGTGTAATTATCAAATTAGGGTATTTAGGGTAACCATCATCTCAAGCATTTAGCATTTCTTTGTGTTGGGAACGGTTGAGGAGGGCATTTTTGCCCATTCAACCCCAAAGGTTGACACCGGGTACGTATATGTTACGAAATTAGGGGCACAGTAGCATGGATTTGAGGAAATGGATCCCATTAACAAGAGTTAGTAAAATATGTAGGCAGAGAATATATATGCAGATGTCAAGAACTGCTTAACATTCCCCCTCAGGGTGTGTCAACAGATGGCAATTAACTGCTAGCAGTTAGGAACCAGTAAATACAGAATACACAGATGCTTATGCTTCGTGTACCTGCCTGAGCTGCAGGAACACAGATTCCCCTTTGCGGCTGTGAAATTGCGAGGAACGTTTGGGTTCTCTCTGCACCCCCCGCCTATTTTCTGTTCAGAAAGCACACCCAGGACAACTGTAGACTTACTGAATAAGTCTGAGCATTCACTGTAGACCAAGCACTTTCCCAGGCACAAGAGTCACACAGACAGAGCTCCTACTGCCTGAGGCTTTCAGCCCAGTGGATGCATTTGATTGGTCCCTGACCCTATAGTTTCCTTGACAATGCCTCTGCATTTCCCTGCCCAGTTTATATCTGTTATCCCAGAGTAATTATTAATAGCACTTCTTTTCACTCTCAAAAGCGTCCCAGTTTGGATGATAAATTATATGGCTACTCTATCTAGAGTCCCTTTTTTAAAAGGGTTTTTTTTTGGGGGGGGGGTATGAAATCTAATACACAGAGATAAAAAGTGCAAAAATATAGCATCCTCTATTTGAGAGGCTCTTTGGAACTTGCTGAAGTCAAGAGAGGGTTCCCAAATGATGAAGGAAATGGCTTTAGCAGATTAAATTTTAATTAGTTCATAACAGGTTCCACCTCATTCGGGACTTGAATCTCTGCCGCATGCTGTCGCCGGTTCTGTAGTCCCAGACATTGTCGGCTCTGGATTTTCCACAGTGCGTCAGAAAACTCAAACTGACTGCCCTCTTCCACCAAGCCCGGGGACAGCTGGGGCACATGAGGGCACTTGTCCCCACACAGCCTGATGGGGAAGAGCCAATTCAGGTTACCATGACAACACCCTTTCCTGAAAATCTCTGACTGACACTTCCTGGGGAGACAGGAAGTACCGACAGGAAGATCCCGAGGTCATTCTTTTCCTTTGTCCAGCTTTTCCCACCTCCCAGACTCTCTGATGATTTGACCTTTCCTAGCTCAGCATATCTTCTGCCAGCCCCATCAGCAAAGCTGGGGGCAAAAAGCAAGCAACTGTTTCTGTCCGCTTCTTCCCAGCAGGCCAGTGGAACGCCCAAAATATTTTAGTAATAACCTGCATCAAAGTAACTACAGAGGGCTGGGCATGGTGGCTCACTCCTGTAATCCCAGCACTTTGAGAGGCCGAGGCAGGTGGATCACCTGAGGTCAGGAGTTCGAGACCAGTCTGGCCAATATGGTGAAACCCTGTCTCTACCAAAATACAACAAATTAGCTGGGTCTGGTGACATGTGAGTGTAGTCCCAGCTACTCAGGAGGCTGAAGAATGAGAATCGTTTGAACCCGGGAGGTGGAGGTTGCAGTGAGCCGAGATCATGCCACTGCACTCCAAACTGGGTGACAAAGTAAGACTATGTCTCAAAAAAAAAAAGGAAAAAAAAAAAAAAAAAAACTAGTGAAAGGACGATGCTTCAAAAAGTGATAGTGCTGATTCGAAAGTAAACGAATAATTTATGGACTGCCTGCACTTTTGCAATTAACATCAGGACATTAATAATCATCCCACAAGTGTTACTGAGTGCCTACCACATGGCAGGCCCTGTGTTGCAGACAGGGTATTAAGTATTGAACAGAATGGATATGGCCCCTGCCTCCATGTAGCTTACAGTGTCCTAAGGGAGACAGACATTCAATGGATAATCATACAGTAAATACGCAACTACCAATTGTAATAAATGCAGCAAAGGAAAAGTACAGAGTAGGAGCGGCCGGGCTCAGTGGCTCACGCCTGTAATCCCAGCACTTTGGGAGGCCGAGGCGGGTGGATCACGAGGTCAGGAGATCGAGACCATCCTAACATGGTTAAACCCCATCTCTACTAAAAAATACAAAAAAATTAGCCAGGCGTGGTGGTGGGGCGGGGGTGCCTGTAGTCCCAGCTACTTGGGAGGCTGAGACAGGAGAATGGCGTGAGCCTGGGAGGTGGAGCTGGCAGTGAGCCAAGATCACGCCACTGCACTCCAGCCTGGGTGACAGAGCAAGACTCTGTCTCAAAAAAAAAAAAAAAGAAAAGAAAAATGCAGAGTAGGAGAGAACCTACAACAGGGGTACCTAATTTACAATTGGGTGGGTCAGAGAAACACCAACTCGTAAAAAAAGCAGCTTTAATCTAAGACCTAAAGGATGACAAGAGGTAGGCAAAGAATGAATATCTGTCATCCACTTATATCAAGAATCCAGGCGTCTCCACCATACCGGGCATAACCTTGATACTTTACTGAAATATTTTACTTCTAGTCCAAAAGAAGATTTCCCTCACTAGTTACTTTTCTTTTTTCTTTTTTGAGACATCGTCTCACTCCATCGCCCAGGATGGAGTGCAGTAGCGCGATCTTGGCTCACTGCAACCTCTGCCTCCCAGGTTCAAGTGATTCTCCTGACTCAACCTCCTGAGTAGCTGGGATTACAGGCATGCGCCAGCACACCCAGCTAATTTTTTGAATTTTAGTAGAGACGGGGTTTCACCATGTTGCCCAGATGTTGCCTAGAAGTCATACCTCATGGTATGACTTTCAGGCCTACGTATTTACAACCTGCATTAAAAACAATACAAGAGATTCATAATGCCACCATTCTAGATTGTTAGTTAGCTGTGCTTGAAATGTAGGAAAAGTTCAGAGCATGCCCTTCATCTATTTCAGCAAATCTCTCATATCTGAATCCCCAACACCTAGCATGACTGAAAGCATTGTTACCATGTAATCGTTTTATGTATTAGGCGCTCAATGTGCATTGAATAAATGAAGGTATCAATGAACAAATAAGTGAACTTTAATAGGTGTCTTCTATGGACTAGGCGTGTGCCAGATACCCTCACAAATATCCTCCAATTTCAACACCCTAACCTTATTGCACCTTTCTCAAAGATAGGAGTCTAATGTGCTGAACCAAACAGTAGTTCTAAAAATAATTCTGAAATATAAGCTGAATGAAGTTTGGAGATGCAGATAAGGGAGAAAATGCATTTTCAGAAGCATTTTGAAATAGCAAGGCAAGATGGCAGTCAGCAAAACGAAAGGGTGCCATGCTCTCAAGGGTCATAGATGTGGACAAGGAGGTGACTTGAAAGGGAGCAGAGGTGTAAAGAGGAGTACACGGTCAGTATTGCTGAAACCCAGAGGGCAGCTGAAGATCCTGAGACGGTGCACAGAATGTGTTGTCGATGGAGATGATACATTTGTATTCTGTTGCTCCTGGAACAAGTGCTGAATACACTCCCAACAGTCTGGGGGCAGAATGGGGGATGTGGGGAGGGACAGTGTGGGTTTGGAGAGAATGGAGAGAAGAGAATTAGGGCTCGGTACAACATTTAGGTGCAGAGAAGCTTCCAAAACTGTAATGCTAGACCAGATACAGTGGCTCACACCTGCAATCCCAGCACTTTGGGAGGCTGGGGTAGGAGAGTTGCTTGAGGCCAGTTCAAGACCAGCCTGGGCAACACAGCAAGACCTCATTTCTTGGCTGGGCGCGGTGGCTCACGCCTGTAATCCCAGCACTTTGGGAGGCCGAGGTGGGTGGATCTCGAGGTCAGGAGATCGAGACCATCCTGGCTAACACAGTGAAACCCCATCTCTACTAAAAATACAAAAAACTTAGCCAGGCATGGTGGCGGGTGCCTATAGTCCCAGCTACTCTGGAGGCTGAGGCAAGAGAATGGCGTGAACCTGGGAGGCAGAGCTTGCAGTGAGCCGAGATCACACCACTGCACTCCAGCCTGGGTTACAGAGTGAGACTCCGCCTCAAAAAACAAAACAAAACAAAAAAAAACAAAAAACACCTCATTTCTACAAAAAAAAATTTTTTTCACTTAGCCAGGCACTCCTGTAGTCCTAGCTACTCTGGATGCTGAGGCAAGAGAATCTCTTGAGTCCGGGAGGTCAAGTCTACAGTGAACTATCATCACAGCACTGCACTCCAGCGTGGATGACAGAGTGAGACCTTGCCTTAAAAAAAAAAAAAAGAAGAAAGAAAACAAAAGAAACTATAATGTTAAAAGGCTGGCATTTATGGGGCAGGTGATAATAGAGAAGTCTTTTGAAACAAAAGTAATGAAAAGAAGTGTGAATTCAGAAGTAGCTTTACATCTCACTAGTATAAGAAAGAGCATTAGAAAAGGAAGGAAAATAAGCAGATGATTTTATATTTTAAGAGGTTCTTCTAGTCTAAAAGGAGCAGGTCTTACTGTGAACAATTTAGACAAAAGAAAGTTTAAACAGAGGTAGGAATTTATTTCAACAAAGACGACAGTGGGAAGCATTGAATCGTTTTAGGGTTGGAAATCTCTACATTTTTAAACCATTCACATTAGACTGGGGATGAATGGGAAAGGGAAGTGTCTAAAAAGGTTCAAGGGGGTAGGAAAAAACCCAAAGGCAAAAATTATTGCCCCTGGTAGGAACCTCTAATATTCAAGAGAATTTTCTGCAGAAAAGGATGTTTGTCCTTCTCTTGAATCTCTGCAGTTCCCTGAGCTGGTGACATGTTCCATAATTGTTCTAGCTTTATTGTTTTTTCTCCACAAAGCTATTTGTGAAAGAGCCATAAAATTGTCTTACCCAACGTTCTCAGTTTCAAGAAATATGATACACAGCAGATCAGGAGAAATTCTTATTTTTTTTTTCTATTTCACAGCATCTTGGCACAAGTTCAGCACTGAAACAGTTAAAATATCAGCACATTTCACTAGTCTTGGGTTACTCATAAACATTCAGCAAAGCAATTTCACTCAATCGCACATATTAACTGCTTAAGTTCTTCTCTCTGAGGATGTGGACTGTTATTTTATGCCAAAAGTCCTGTAATTAAGTTTGACATAAGCGCATGGATTAAATGTGTGGCTGGGAGGGAGGGGAGCTGGTCCAGAATGGAAGAGTTTCTCCCCTTGCCTTCTTGCCATATGGAAACTGTAACCAAATAATGTGCAAAAAATTTTAAGAGAATTTCCAATCCTATTACTCAGTGTTGTTTATCAGGTAAATCTCAAGGCCAATATAGTTACAAAGCCAGTTTTTCTTTTCCCCAATTTTGCAATAAGTACAACAACAAAACATTAACCATCCAACAGCCCAGGACGCTCAGATTATCATTTTTACAGGGCAGAGAACAGAACAGCTATTAGAAACTCTTCGGATGGGCAAGGGACTGTGGCTATGGTTTGGAACTAATTTATCAAACTGATCTCATTCAGGGAAGTCATGAGGAGGATGCTGTGTGTTGTGTTGTGTTGTGTTGTCAATGACATTAAGGAATGCAACATTCTGATGCACTTTGTTCAGATGGCACTTTGATCTCATCAAGATTTTCCCTGTCTGGAGGGTCCTCAGGTGACTCTGAAAAGGCTCAAATCACTTAAGCAACATAATAACAAATTTACTTTCAATTTCTGGCCATATTCATGAAGGTTTCTTGCGGTTTGAGAGAGGAATGCTCTTGTTCCTGCCTTCCTAAAAACAGCTGAAAATAGCTTTTCAAATGTGTGAAGGAGAAAACATCCTCCTTGAGTTTCCCCCAAATCAGAGGGAGCATGCAGGAAATTAACTCGACAAGGGTAACCAGGCAGTAGGCCCCTCCCTGCCTCTCCTGGTAAATGCTGCCCCGCACTCTTGCCCAATCCGGCTCTTCCTTGCTCCTCTCTTTCCATCGGTTGAGCTGGGTTGACTGCTGTCTTGGTGGCTTCGTCTAGCCATAACTTCCTTAAAGCATCCAGAAATGTTATCCAAATGCCTGCCAGGTTCAAGTTCTTTATACTTGAGCCATCATTCTAAAAAAATCTCATTGCAACTATTCCCAGCTTCCTTCTTGATTTGTCTCTGTTTGTCCAAACCCGACTCTGAATCTCTTCCTCTTAGAGGACCACAGACCAGGCAGTTCATAACACTACCGTGCGAAGCCCCATAAATCTCCATGTCACACCGATTTCTGGTATGGGTTTCTGACCATTTTCACATATCCATTTTTATTTTATAATAGGTGGCTCAAGGGGAGCCCAGCATTGAGATAAAGCCTTAAAAATCTGCTACACAGGAGTGAATAATTTACTTAGGCCCAATGCGGCTCTCTGTATTCCCCCTAATTTGGGGAGAATATCTGCCACATCTTTTAAAAGCCCATCCCAAGCCCTCCAGGAATATTCTTGTTTCTCAGTTTATCCTCCTGGTTTTATAGTTCATATTTCTGCTCATTAAATTACATAAACCTGTTATTAGGCCCACAGTCTTAATGTATTCCAGGCATTCTGAATTGTCCTGTACTCTTCTATATTATCCCCCAATTTGGTACAAAATATAATTACTACCTTCGACTCTATTCTCCATGTCATTGTTGGGAATTGCCTGGTTCTCTTAAATAGCTTTCACTTACCCGGGGCTTCTTTTTCTTTGATATCCCAGGTAGTTCTTTTTATTCCCCAAACTTATTCTTTAGAGGGGCCAGCTCGTAAGACTAGCCCAAGAGAGGTAATGGAACACGTACCTCTACCCCACAGCTGGGCTCTTGCTTTGGTCGGGAGGGGTAGGAAGAAAAGACATCAGGGGTTTGCCATTTTCTGAGTCTAGTCCACGACTTGACATTAATGGGATTGACCCAGGCCACACTGAGAACAGCGAGCTCGGTACACTTTCTAACTATGTCTGGTTATGTTTTCCATAGACCAAGTTTGCCATTTTATTCTGCCAATATCTGATTCCTCCACAACAACTCCAGAATGAAGCCACAGCAAAGACACATTGCCATAGGCGGGGCCCAGGCAGAGTACGGATGGGGTTCCCTGCAGCTGATTGAAGTGGGGCAAAGTGTGGTATGTTAAGAATCCGGAGGCTTCAGCATAATCGTACAAGACCTCCTTGAAGTCCCGTTGAAACACTTTCTGCACCTGAGCCTCTTCTACGTTTGTCCCCAAATATAATAACTTAGTCCAATTTTTCCTCCCAGCTGCCGGCATGTTTTGCATCTAAGCTGGGGTAATTCCAGCTTGGACCTTGTATTCCTCCTGCACTCCCTGTCTTCCCTCTGAGAAATCTGTAAGACTAAGAACCTGGTAGAATTTTTTGAGGTCCATGCTCACAGCTTTCTAAATCTGACCTCGCCATGTCAAAGAGCATGGCCATTTCCTGTGCAGTTTATGCATAGCGTCTTTTGGTTCCAAACTTCTTGAGCAGGATTCAAAATTATACATCCTCATGCTTCTCAATGAGTGGCAGTATGGAAGAATGCAGTAAATAAGGATGCAAGCTCTGAAGCCTGGATTCGAATTTTGACTCAGACATTTTATTAGTTGTCTAACCTCAAGCGTGTGAACTCCTTGCAACACATTTGCCTCATCTGTGTAATAGGTACATAATAGTACCTACTTCTTGAGGTCATTGTGAGGATTAAACACATAAAGCGTTAATGAGAGTGCTTGGTCCATGGCGAAGCCTTCAGGAAGTGTTGGCAATAGCCAAACAGATGGTGTGGATTCCAAATTTTCTTTTTCTTTCTTTCCTTTTTTTTTTTTTTTTTTTAAACAGAGTCTCACTTTGTCACCCAGGCTGGAGTGCAGTGGTGCGATCTCAGCTCACTGTAGCCTCTGTCTCCCCTGTTCAAGCCATTCTCCTGCCTCAGCCTCCTGAGTAGCTGAGATTACAGGTGTGTGCCACCATGCCTGGCTAGTTTTTGTACTTTTAATAGAGATAGGATTTCCCCATGTTGGTCAGACTGGTCTTAAACTCCTGGTCTCAAGTGATCCACCCGCCTTGGCCTCCCAAAGTGCTGGGATTACAAGTGTGAGCCACCATGCTCGGCCCCACATTTTCTAAGGGCATCAGACACATTGTTTTTGGGAGATGAGCTGGTCCTTGAAAGATCTGAGATGCTCAGGCGTTCAAGAGGATGAGTGACAAGCATATCCATGTCTTTGGGCTTATCTTTACTTTGCAGGATTTAAACATAGCCTTATATCCAGACTCACTGTCAAACCATGCATGATTCAGCTTCTCACAGCCTAGCATTACTGAAGGACAGAGAGATTCAGGAAATGGAAAAATTGATATAAAAATTAATAAAAGAATTTAGTTTCAGATTTCTTACTGTTTTGTCTGCTGCATATAGTCACAAATTGCCAAGTTCTCCTGTGAGCTCCCTATAAAAATCAAAACCTTGCTGCAGTTGTAGGATTGGCTTAGCAGCTCTGCAATGCTTTCAACCGACAGCAAGGCTTTCAACCGACAGCAAGGCTTTCAACCAACTTCTCTGACGGTCATCTGCCAAACTGGGGTAATTCACTACCGTGCCTCACAAGACTATAGCAAGCAAGAAAGAGAGTGAAAATGTTTGGAAATATAATCATTGTTATTATTAAACATACAGCGTCAGTTAATCTAACTTAAAATTAATAATAATATTTTCATTTATTTATGTATGTAAAATACTGATATGGAAAGTTGCCACATACCCTTGGATTACTCCATCTTTCTCATCTCCTTATCGAAGTTCTACTTTTCTCTAATTTCTCTAAAAAGCCACCCCCTCACATACACACACAGACATTGCAGGAAACATTCACTCTTCTGAACTCTTAGTCCACTTACCATTGTCCTTTCACTTGCTTTGGTATTTAATCATCCACTTCCAGGAGTCAGCAGACTTTTCTATAAAGGTCCAGAGAGCAAATATTTTCATTTTTGCAGGCCATACTGTCTCTGTTGCAACTACTCTCAACTGTGCTTTTGTAGCACAGAAGCATCATAGAGAATACATCAATGAATGGACATGACTGAGTTCCAATAAAACTTTATTTAGAAAAACAAGTGGAGGGCTGGATTTGGTCTGTGAGCCACAGCTTGCAGCCACTAATGTGCAGCCTGGTTTTGTGATTAAGTCCCTTTCCTGGTGCCTTTATTTTTTTTGTCTACCTGATTAGACTGTCAGAACCTCAGAGACAAGACTCATTGTTAGGTCTTTAGAATACCCTATCCCCCAGGTCTCCAAATCCCTGCACCTGGCTCAGTATGTGCTTGTTGGATTAAGCTGTCTCGTGGGACAATTGTATATTTATTGTGAGTAGATGGACTTAGGCAATCAAGCCAGGCAGAGTTAAATTAGAAAAAATACATGTGCTGTCCCGACTGAATGAAAGACGGCCATCTATGTGTCAAAGACATCAGTACAGGAAAAATGCTGCCTACCAATCACTATCAAATCCTGGGGGAAAAGCTATGGAAAACACCTGAAGACCACATGTTCCTGGAATCTGAGCTCCGTGCATGAATCATGCCATATAAGACCAGCAACATGGGTAGCCTGACTCTTTTCTGAGGACGTAGTTATAATTCTGAATTCACAGATGACCACCATTCTTTAGAGACAACTCTTTCATCATTATCCTTGAGTGTAGAAGAATTTCCCTTTTGTTTCTCATTTAGATTCATCTGAAAATAAATATTTTTATTTGTGGAAAATATGATATTCCAAGGTTAAGAGCGGTTAAGCCTGTAATCCCAGCACTTTGGGAGGCCGAGGCAGGCAGATTGCTTGAGCCCAGGAGTTCAAGACCAGCCTGGGCAACATGGTGAAACCCCATCTCTACAAAAAAATGCAAAAATTAGCTGGATGTGGTTGTGCATGCTTGTGGTCCCAGCTACTCAGGAGGCTGAGATAGGAGGATGGCTTGAGCCTGGGAGGTGGAGGCTGCAGTGAGCCAAGATGGAGACACTGCATTCCAGCCTGGGTGGCGGAGCGAGACCTTGTCTCAAAAAGAAAAAAAAAAAAAAGAGTGTTTAAGAGCAGCACGGCCTAGAGTTTGACCTAAACTCAAATCTGTGAGCCTTTAAGTAAGTCACTTAACTTCTCTATGCCTCAGTCTTCCTTTCTGTGAAATGGGGAATTTGTTAAATGAGACCATGTATGTGAAGAACTGAGTACAAGCTCGGGATAAACACTCAATAATTATTAGCATCCAGTAATAGCCATAGTTTAGCAGTCAAAGTCACAGAAGTAAAAGATATTTCTGGCCAGGTGCAGTGGCTCACACCTGTAATCCCAGCACTTTGGGAGGCCAAGGCAAGCCGATTGCTTGAGCTCAGGATTTCGAGACCAGCCTGGGCAACATGACAAAACCTTGTCTCTACAAAAAAACAAAAATTAGCTGGGTATGGCAGCACATACCTATAGTCTTAGCTACTCAGGGGGCTGAGGCATAAGAATCACATAAGCCGGCCGGGCACGGTGGCTCACACCTGTAATCCCAGCACTTTGGGAGGCCGAGACAGGCGGATCACGAGGTCAGCAGATCGAGACCATCCTGGCTAACACAGTGAAACCCCATCTCTACTAAAAATACAAAAATTAGCCGGGCGCAGTGGCGGCACCTGTAGTCCCAGCTACATGGGAGGCTGAGGCAGGAGAATGGCGTGAACCCGGGAGGCGGAGCTTGCAGTGAGTGGAGATCTCACCACTGCACTCCAGCCTGGGCGACAGAGCGAGACTCCATCTCAAAAAAAAAAAAAAGAATCACATAAGCCCAGGAGGTGGAGGTTACAGTGAGCCAAGACTGTGCCACTGCACTCCAGCCTGGGCAACAGAGTGAGACCCTGTTTAAAAAACAATAATAATAAATAATGATTTCCTTTGCTAATCATAGAGCTACCATATGACCCAGGAATTCCACTCCTAGACATATACCTGAGAAAAATGAAAACCTTGTCCCCAACACAGACTTGTACACAAATATTCATAGCAGAATTATTCACAATAGCCAAAAAGTGGAAATAACCAAAATGTCCATCAAACGGCAAGAAAGAGAAACAAAATGTGGTATATCCAAATGATCAATATTGCTTGGCCAGGAAAAGGAGTGGAGTGCTGATACATGTTACGACATGGAAGAACCTTGAAAGCATAATGCTACACGAAAAAAGCCAGTCACAAAAGACCACATATTGTATGAGTCCATTTACATGAAATGTCCAGAATAGGTCAATACAAAGAGACACAGCGTAGATTCGTAGTTGCCAGGGGCTGAGGTGGGGGAAGAAGGGAGGAGGAGTGATTGTTAATTGGTGTGGAGTTTCTTTGGGGGGGATGATGAAAATATTCTAGATCATGGTTATTGTTGCACAACTCTGTGAAATACTAAAAACCACTGAATTATATACTGCCAAAGGGTACCTTTTATGGTATGTAAATGATATCGCAATAAAGCTATTATTTTTTTCAAAAGCATTTTCTTTAAGAAAAAAAAAAAATTCAACTGGGCGTGGTGGCTCACGTCTGTAATCCCTGCTCTTTGGGAGGCCAAGGCAGGCAGATCGTGAGGTCAGGAGTTCAAGACCAGCCTGACCAACATGGTGAAACGCCGTCTCTACTAAAAATACAAAATTAGCTGGGCATGGTGGCAGGAACCTGTAATTCCAGCTACTTAGGAAGCTGAGGCAGGAGAATCGCTTGAATCCAGGAGGCGGAGTTTGTAGTGGGCCAAGATCATGCCTCTGCCCTCCAGCCTGGGCAATAAGAGTGAAACTTTGTCTCAAAAAAATCACATTCACTCAGCTATCCTCATCACAAATTAATCTACATTAAATGCTGCTTTATCCTTGATATAAGCTAGAAGTTTGTAGTTTAAGAACTCCACACACACACACACGCACAAATGTGTTATGTGCAGATATCTTTTAAAAGCGGATTTGCTTTTAGTTAAGTTTCTACATTCATGATGCTTAATGTACTTGTTGAAGGTGTGCATCCATAATCTTCAAACTCTAGTTAATTATAAGAATTACTCAAAATAAATAAAATTGTGTATTGAGGACCTACTGTGTGCCGTGCATTACCTTGGACATGGGGACATGGCAAAGGATAATGACTTTATTCGTAAAATGAAGGTTCCCAACCTTTTTGGCACCAGGAACCAGTTTCATGGAAGATATTTTTTCCATGAACTGGGGGTTGGGGAGATGGTTTTGGGATGATTCAAGTGCATTACATTTATTGTGTGCTTTATTTCTATAATTATTACATTGGAATATATAATGAAAAAATTCAACAACTCACCATCATGTAGAATCAGTGGGAGCTCTGAGCTTGTTTTCCTGCAGCAATACAGTCCCATCTGGGGGTGATGGGAGACAGTGACAGATCATCGGGCATTAGATTCTCATAAGGAGCACACAACCTAGATTCCTCACATGCACAGTTCACAATAGGGTTCCTGCTCCTATGATTATCTAATACCACTGCAATCTGGCAGGAGGCGGAGCTCAGGCGGTAATGAAAGTGATGGGGAGCAGCTGTAAATACAGATGAACCTTAGCGCACTCACCTGCTGTTCACCTACTGCTGTGTGGCTTAGTTCCTAACAGGCCATGAACTGATACTGGTCTGTGCCCCAGGGGTGGGAACCCCTGCTCTATAAAGTCATTAAGCTAATCATTCAGCATTCTTTATGCATCACACCAACTGAGATTTGGTCATTCTCCACTTGCCTGAAGTTTGTATCATTATAACAATGGGCTGTTCCCAAGTATAAATCATATTATTATCTCAAATGATGCCTTTCAAACCCTGTTTCTTAGAGGCAAACCCCTCTTCTTCTCAGTTGAAAGTCACAGTTCTGAGTTCTAGAAGGTTCAGTAAGTCTAGGATCCCTAGGTTTTGCGTCAAGAATTAAGGGGTCCACCAGGCCACCTATGGATTAAATTTGCCCACTTGAGGGCCTGCAGAAAAGAGGGATTCTCACATTTTTATGAACCTAAAAATGACCTTGACAGGTTGTTTACCATGCAGATTCCTGGGCCTTCCTAGCAGAAAGGCAAACTTATTAGGTCTTAGAAGGGTCCCAGAGGTGGTGAGACAGTGTTTAACAAGCACTCCTCATCACGCTGATGCAGGAATACACAAACCACACTTTGAGAAATGCTGCTAGCAAAGGTTGGAAACCAGTGCAGTGCTGAATGTCTACTGAGCACCAACCTTAAACAATGCCCTCTGCTAAGCACTTTGGGGGCACAAAGACATAGAATCCCTTCCACAAATAGCACATAATCAAGTCTGAAGACAGTATGATAACTGAGTATGCTTGTGGAATGTGATCAATAACCATTGAGCAACTGAGACTCTAAGGCTCCAAGAATTCAGAAGAGCAAAGCATCTCCATGAGCTGAGGTGGTTGGAGAAGACTCTATCAAGGAGAGGGGTCATTTAGGTCTAACCTTAGAAAGTGACTGTGGGCAGGGTGGTGACTCACACCTGTAATCCTAGCACTTTGGGAGGCTGAGACA